TGAGGAGGTCCTCTGCGCGTTTCGATGGGGGGGGGGCGTCGAAGGAAGTAGTAAAAAAGTGCGGAAGTAGTGATGAAAAAAAAAAAAGGTCGGCTAACTCAGCTTGGCGAACTAAACATGAAGATTGATGATGAAAGGAATGAGTGCAACGTAGTGATTAGAAAAAAAGGCGGTTTCTTGTTTTATATATTTTATATATATATCATATATATGTTTTTTATCGGTAAAAATAATGTAAATGAATCGTTAGAACAAGCAAAAAGTAATACAGGACGATATACAAATACATAAATCATTTGAGAAAAAAAACATAAATAAATAAAGAGTTAAAAAGAATGTAGCTTTTTGTTAAAAGAAACTTAATAGTGTCTGATGGGATTGGTCTGCGCGGGTGGGAATCTACGACAAGGAGGACTTTTGTCGGATGCGCCCTCGATGTGGGGGTTTGGAGCTCCGGGGCTCTTCGAATTTCTAAGGCGTAGCCGACGTCGGCTCGTGAGGAGTAGTAATTGGGAAGAGGAGAGGCGCAGGGAGTCGTCCACGGAACAGGCGCATGTAAGAACGGGCTTCTCCACCAAGCACTTGGAGAGAAACCGTTTCTTCCATGAATGCCGGAGCACTGCACGATTCCGAGGATGGTCCATCGTCCATCACCACCTCCGGCATGATGAGGCTGCCTGTCGGGGTTCACGCGGAGAGCGTTCTGAAGCAGAATGCCAATGCACGCATTGTTGGAAGGGGACTCGTCTTCTTCGGCGAAAGTCCAGCTCCATTGGGATTGAGGTAGCCAAGCATGATGGGTTTTGACAGAGTTAAGGTTTACAAATCTGCCATTCTTTTTTTTTCTTTTTCTTTTCCCTTTTTTTTTCCCCTTTTCTTTCCTTTTTTTTTCCTTGTTATTTTTTCTGTCAATACAGTTTCGTTATGTGGACATTTTATGGCGGGAGTCGGTGGGAAATTGTTGGGTGGAGTGCGCCTCGATTGAAGGTCGTCACTCGATTTTCTTCTGTAGATTAGGCACACAATGTCTTCAGTTGCACCCTTGTTCCCTTTTCTCGTGTGGTATACGGGGAGCGGATAAGCAGTGTTTCAGAGTAAACTGATTCTTTGAAAGGAACGTATACTTGAGCGAGCACGCTTCAAATCAGGGTGTGATGCAATGACGAAGTACAGGTTTCGTACATGACTAGCCCCGCTTCGGATCAAATTTCGATGTCATAGCGGTCTCCAGGTATACAAGCCTGGTTTCTTGGGAAAAAAAAAAACAAAACAAAAAAAAACCTTAATAGTGTAAATGAATCGATATAACAATAAAAAGAGTAATACGGCACGATGTACAAACAAATAAAAAATTTGGAGCATTTCTCGATTTATGCGTGTCATCAAACAAATAAATAACCACAGGGGAGAGGTTTCGGGACAGCAGCCCAATTTTCGCTTATACTTTCTATGCCTACTAGATATTCCGCACTCCTAATACCTTTCTCTGCCTTTTGGCAAAGATCAAGTGTAGTATCCATTGATCAGTTTAATATCTGATCCGTGCTCCATCGGGCCACATCTTTTTTTTTTTTTTTTTTTTTTTTTTTTTTCCTCGCTCCTACTCTATATGCGAAACTGGGTTGAATTGTGAAGTCCCCGGCCTCTTTCACTTTTTTAAGCTATAATGAGAAGCCCTATCAGGGCCCCTTTCGTTTAAAACAAAACCAAATAAATACAATAATTCAATAATAAATACATACATAAATAAGCGAAGAGGTTGCAAACTCGTAAACAAGCTAAGATGCCTTTTTTTTACCCTTTCTACCGAACCAAAAACAAGCTAAGATGCCTTTTTTTACCCTTTTTACCGAACCAAAAAAGGCAGTAAACAGACAAACGGCAGGAGTCGGTTCTAGACTCTAAGCCATGGGGTGAAAGGGGAGGGGGGGGCGCGCGGGGAGGGGGGGGGTGGTGTGCGGTGGCAGCCTTCTTCCAAGAAGACAGGAGCTGTACACCGGACATGTTCAGGCGCTTATTTAGGAAATCGGCTGCTGCGATCAAATTCCTTTTTTTTTGTTTTTTTTGTTGAGAAGAAGTATAGTCACGACTCTTGATTGGACTTCTTGTCAACAGTGTAGTGATTTCCAAAGAATCCAAACATGTTCATACTTGATTGGATTTAAGCAATAGCCGGGGAAAGGACCGTGAAGGGACCGTGGAAAAGAAACGCTTACTCACATTTGTGGCTTTCAAAAAGTGGGAAAACACCTATGATTTTTTTTTTTTTTTTTTTTTTTTTTTTTTTTC